GCAGAGCCTTTTGTTAGCTCCTTTTCACAGTACACTGTCCTACCTATTTGGTTTTACTGACTTCTTGACTGGGGGAACCTTCTGTAGTCGACGATCTCTCCTTTCGACAATAGGATGCGGGCTTTTTAACGAGATTCGTTCTGACTACCATCGAAAAGTGTCAATTGTTAAAACTGGCAACTTAAGTAGTACGCATTTATCATTGATTTTGACTACCTTTATAAATTCAAATATATTTTATGGAAAAAATGCACGAAAAAATTATTTATTCTACCTGTTTGATAGCAAATTACGCCTTCTTTAAATTTTATACTCAAAGAAAGGATAGCTTTTGGTTATAAAAAAGTTGCTAATTAAGAGCTTTTTTACAATTGTGAGGTGTTTATTCATAATACATCATATCCGTCAATTTATTAATGCTGCCTATACTGTATAAAATATGTTCCACATCTATTTCAATTTTTTATGACACTATGTGACTTCTTCCTCAAACAGTAGGCGAAAACGTACTTTTCCTTAAACAGAGTGTACACAGTGCTCAATTTTTAAACCTTGAATTCGAGTGTAGCAGTCACTAGGTTAGAAAATTATTCGGCTGTTAAACAACTCTTTTAAAACCGTAAGATATCCTTTCTTTGAGTATAAAATTTAAAGAAGGCGTAATTTGCTATCAAACAGGTAGAATAAATAATTTTTTCGTGCATGTTTTCCATAAGATATATTTGAATTTATAAAGGTAGTCAAAATCAATGATAAAAATGCGTACTACTTAAGTAGCCTGTTTTTACAGTCGACACATTTTGCTGGTAGTCAGAACGAAGCTCGTTGAAAAGCCCGCGTCCTGTCATGACGGAAAAACTTCAGAATAGACTACACGATAATCATTATCACAACCTGAGTCAATACCAATTAGCGAAAGAGTATCAATCTTTCGCCTATGTCGAAATGTTGCATGATCCGCGGCGTCTACAGTAGTTTGAATTGCTAGTAGACTTGGGATGCATCTGCCGCACTCCCTCTTTCCTCACCCACCTGTGGCCGGTTTCAAGACAAATTCCAGAAGACCGAAGGTAGGATCGGGCGAAGGTGGCTGGCATTTGTTATGGGAATACAATCCGAATA